GGGTGTGGGGCTTGTCTCATTCAGGCCATCTCTCCTTCCCCACCAAGCCTCTCCAGACCTTCTGGAAAGTGCTAAACCGCAGTGAAGGGCAAGATAAATGAGGCTCTTCAGACAGAGGTTACAAAGCAAACTTATCTAAAGTACATTTTCAAGTTAAGGGTGGCTGACCAAACTACCACCTCAAGGAGAGTACAAAATACTAGGACCCAGAGAGCACCGGCATTTTATTGAACACATACGTCACTGGAAATGCAAAGCAAAGCTTAGAAACACAAAATGTGGGTGTAGGAGGTCTGACAGGGCTTGATCAAGGGCAATGTAACCGAGAGGAATTACTGAAACCCGAATGAAGGCTGACCATGATAGTGGGACAAGAGGAAAGTAAAACGAAACAGAGGAAAGAACTAGGAGGCAAAGGGCATTTACAGAGGTCTAAATACAAGCATGTACAAATGTAAATATATTTATATATGTTGGCAGGGAAATAGATCTATGTACATATATTTATAGATTTAGTATTAAGGTAGCAGATGGACCTTGAGCCTCCACTCAAGTACTCCCTCAACTCAAGAACACTTTGCTCTAATAACCTGGCATTCCATGATGCTCACCTTCCCAACACGATCGCTGAAGACAAAGTGGGTGCATAAGCAAATGTGGTTTCAGGGACAGGCAGGGGAGGCCTCACTGACTACCTGAAAACAGAGTTCAATACCACCACCTGGGCAGCTCTGCTAGCACACCACGCCCTACAAATGGCAAATCAAAGGTTCACCCTTCCTGCTGCTGGAAGGAATAATGGCCTGAAATGCATCCTCTGAAACGGAGGGGGATCGATCCTTATAGAAATGCAGATTGCTGAGATGCAAGATCCCACATTCCTGGAGCTGGGGACATGTGGGTTTTATGCATAATTAGAAGCTGTGAATGGCTATTCTGCTTCAAAGCTCTGCCCCGGGATTTTGAATTTTCAATACATTGATTAATAATGATGAATCCTGGACCAATGGCAAATGTTCACAGCCATGTTTTAAAAATGCCCAGGGAAGAATATCAATAATCTATAATTGCAATAAAGTGATCACTTTATTCTAACCCACGCTGAGTTTGGGCCAGAACTTTAGACTTAGAAGTTGGGCTGGGTAAAGAAGGTGGTAATGACTCACGTAGGTCCACAAGCTCAGGGGCAGCACTGGGTTTAGAAACCATGTTGTGCACAGAAGGGTGCAGGGATTTTAAGACATTCTGCCTGGAGAAAGACATAGAAGGTGGCCTGTCAGAGACGAGAGGTGGCTGCAAGTGCACTGGCTGTCTTATCGATGTGGCGGAGGAAGCCGACTTGCTCAGTACAGAGAGTAGACCAGGAACGACAGGAAACTAACGGGCAGTAAGTACATTGGACTAGGATCTGAAAGAGTTCTGAGGGTCCCAATCATAGAAAGGGCTTCCGTGTGAAGGAGGGGAGCTCCGTGCCAAGGAATATCTTCAGGCAGAGACAGCCTGGTCTCTGTGAGGGAAATTATGAAGGCAATTTGTGCAAGATCCCGTTCAGCTCAGAGTGCCAATGAGTCAAGCATGAGAAAGAAGCGGTACCTGAGTTGCATGTTGATTCTTCCTTCCTGCAGAAACCAATACATCTAGTGACTTCTTCAATAACCACGTATTGAAGACCTATGATTCGTGAAGCACTGCGCAGAAGGCGTGGATGGCACAGAGATGAGGAAGGCACAGTCCTGTTCCCAAAGAGCTCACCTTCTAGAGGGGGCGGGCAGGAACATTGCAACGATTATACTGTAACGATACAACCCAGGTGACAGTCGAGGGCCTGTGAGATCACAAAGAGCCCCCTCACTCAGAAAGCTGAGTGTGAAAGAAGGAAGAGGCAAGTGTAGGGGTGGTGACGGTTAAGGGCACAAGCGTGGAGGGGATGGAAAGGAATTCGCTATGGCCCAACGGGAGTGTCTATGCGGCAGTGAGCAGAGATGAGTCTACAAAGCCAAGCAAAGGCTGGCTCATACAGGGCCTTGCATGCCAAGTTAAAGAGCCAACAGGTTATCCTGCAGTTGGTGGGAGACCACAGGAGACATTCAGACAGGGAAGTGATACGCTCAAGCTGCAATCCAGAAAGATTCTTGTTGAGTCCGTAGGAAAGATAGGATGGCCAGGAGACCAGGAAAGACCAGGGGTCCCGGCAAGAAACAACGAGGACCCGGACTAAAAAGAGAGGCGGGGGGTTAAGAGTGGAGGCTGAGTTACTGGGTGGACGGTAGGAAGATTCCGTGAATGTTGGAACTCCAGGAGGAGGGCAGGGCAGTTTGGGTGGCGGGGGGAGAAGAGTGCTTCGGGAACTGTTGAAACTAAGGCACTGGTAGATTTTACAATTCATCTCAACGCCCATGATAATACTCTTGGAATCCCAGGCCCCAAACTCTGATGAGCAGAAAATGTCAATCATCCATCTAGCCACGTTAGAACCCACGCTGGTCAACTCCACTGGCCTTGGAATCTAAAAGACACACTCCGGGGAAACCGCTCCCACCCGCTCGCCTTCTGCTTGAAACTTGTCTGTGGCCAAGTCGGCAAACTCGTGCTCCTCAGCGCAGGTGCAGTTTCCAATAAGGACACGGTGGTTCTTGGCTGTCGATGCAGGCAGCTTTCCTTATTAAACCTACGTGCCACAACCCACCTAATGACTGAAACGAAGTGGATTTCCAGATTTCTAAATCCTATGTCCATTTATTTCTTAGTACTGCAAGCCCTCTTCACACATCTCAGTTTGCAACCAACCCCCCTCCACCAAACAAGCCAACCAAGGCTTTGCAGCCATTAAAAAAAAAAAAAGTCATTTAATCATCTTTGAAAGTGTAAAGACCTACAAATATCCAGAGATTGGACTATAAGGTCATCTACTTGATGTAAAACTAATTCCCACACCTTCTCATTTGCTAGGAGGTTCCCTTCAGTAGTTTACCCTGAGGAACCAGCTGCAGTGCTGTGGCTGCTGTTGTTGTGGAAGGGGCAAGGCCTGCATTAAACAAACAACCTGTACTCTTTGACACTCAGCCCGAGATGCTAATGAAAGTTCAACAGGGAGCAGATGGCCAGAACAGGCCCCACCCCCCGCCCTCTCCCCAAACCAAGGTCCTTCTCTCGCCAAATACTCACAGCTTTTGCAAAGACCCCCATGAGCTCCGGGAACTGATGGGTCAGGAGGGCCAGCATGGCTGTGAAGGAACACAGTCCAGCGGTGAAGAGGATAAAGAAGGGGAGCTCCTTCTTTGGGTAAACTGAGACTTCATGGAAAGCTGTGGAGAAGACCAAAAGGGAAACACGTGAGGGTGGCGTGACCCGCCTTCTCGGGAATTCCTCTCGAGTGCGGCCACCGCTGCAAGGCTGGGAGCGGGTGGGTGAGAAAGGGGGAAGGCTGCGCAGGAACAATCCACACCAGACCTGGCCTTTGGCTGCCTAGCTGCTCCTGAGACTGTCGAAGGGCAGGCAAGGCTGGATGGCAGACTTTCAGGAAGGGCCCATGTACGCCTAAGAGACTGCACTCCTTTCTCAAAAACAAGCACACATAAAGCAGCTAAGGCGCATTTAAGTCATAAAATGCCCGTGGACACTTCCAAACCAAGTATCCTGAAGTAGGGGAGGAAGGGGAAGACCCTTGTCCACATGTTCACCTTCCTGTAACTCTTTCATCACGGCAGCACGGCGCTATTCGTTTATCTAGTATGTTTTCCTGGCGCACAGCAAGTATGCCAGCGGAGGGTGCCGCCCTGAGAGAGAGGGAGGGAGCTCACGTGCCGGCCTCCTCGGTCTGCAAGGGTGTCTGGCACACTTGTAGGGCACCCTCCCCGACAGACTTCCAACAGGCACCGAACATAAATAAAGCAAACAACCTTCGGGTTCTTTAGGGTCTTTCACAGCTTTGGATTGTGGGAAAAGCAGAAAGCTATGGTGGAAAAAAACCCCGAGAGAGGGGTCTGCAGCTGTCTGGGTCAGTGGGGGTGCCTGCCAGAAGGGCTGGCCTGCACAGAGGTGGACCGCCCCAGCTGCCTGCACCCCTGGTGCAGGGGAGAAAGCTGTGAGGAGCTGTGTGTGAATCACCCACGGACTAGAAGCCTAATTAGAAATGGTTCTTTGACTCAGGAAACCCAATCAGCTCTTGCGTCTCACAGCCCTACCCAGGAATCCGTTCTGCTGGAATCCGAGGGCAGAGAAGATGGAGAGGGAAAAGGACAGGCCTGGATGCTGGCGAGTGGACCTGCGAGGATGCAAACACGGGGTCTGATGGGGCAGCAGCTGCCCTTTCCGTGTGCAGAATGTGGTCTCCGTTCAAACCCCTGACCTCTTCCTGCCCCTCCCTTCCAAGCTGAACTCCGCTCCCACAGAAGATTTCGGGAGTGGTCAGGTTGTGCACATTACACTTAGTTCAATAAATGTGAGCCAGAATTTCAGAGCTTATTCTTTTAAGAATGATAACCTTGTTCTAATCGTTCATCTATCCTCAAGGAAATTTATTTGGACCCGATGAACACAGTTCATCCTTCCAGAAAACTGCCTTTTGTACCCCCAAACCAGAAACTATCATGAAGATCTCCCCGATGGGAAGGCCAAAGGTCAAGAATGGACCCCTGATAGAGATTTCTGAAATCAAAGCAACGTAGTGGGGCCATGAGACGCCTTTTACCAGATGACATGGACCAGGAGGGCCCCCGTCCTGGAGCTCTCCTGGGTTCCGTGCTGGGAGTCTGACTAGCAAGAGCTTTTACTGGGATACCAGCCGTCAGATGGGCACCCAGCTCCTATCCCAAGGGAAATGATGAGTGGCTCAAATATGCTGGCATGTGAAACTGACTATGCACCCTGGCCTCTGGAGTTACACTGCTCCCCCAGGGGGAAGCATTCCTAGACGGTATAGCTGTACGCTATTGATGTAACTGTGGTCGTCCCGAGGGTGGGGGTGGCAGGAGAGGAGAGGAGAACGAGAGAAGAGTCAAGATTTGGAGCTTATGATCCGAGGGCGAAAAATATGTTCTACGTCAGAGCCACATGAAGGGCCTGGACATGCTCCACGTACACAGTATGATTCGCTAATAACTATTTAGCCCAAACTGTCAAAACAATGTTGTATTACAGAAACCACAATAATATTTCCCACATGTGGTGTGGGCCATTAGGCTGCGATCGTGGAAGGCACCCGAGGGTGATACAGTGCGGAGGCTGCACGCAGGCTCTGCGCGAAATTCCGCCAGCTCACCCCATCCAGCCCACCAGAGGCTCCTGGGAAATGCCTCTGCCGGCGGCCACGGCCTGGCCTGGGGCCTCGCTCCCACTGTGACTCATCTGCGCTCCCTCTGAAGTCAGCTTCCTCCTCAAGCCCCAGTCTGTGTGGGCCACATGGCACCAGCTGGAGAGTTCGGGCAGAACCGGCCCAGTGGACCACCCCAGCATATTGTCAGCATCCTGACCAAAGGAGGCTCTCCGGGGTTCAGGCCGGTCAGTATTTCACACTTCCTCCTGCAACCTGCCAGTCCTCAGGATCTTTGCATTTGTTGGGCCTGTAGAAACTTGGAGAATCAGAGACCCAGACCCGCTCCCAGAACTCACATGAAGCCATGTGCTTGCACGCCGAGGCTGGGTGTGAGGAGAGTCAGGCGAGGCCAGGCTCCTCGTGTGCAATCAGTCACCCTTCCCCAACTCTTCCCAGCCTCACCGGGAGCCATGGCCACCTCGAGGGCTGGCCAAAGAGAGCACTAGAGAGAGTTGGCACTTACATGGGAGCAGTTCTCTGTCTGCCGTTTCTGTACAGATGGGGTAAGGGTAAAATAGGTGCCCCTTTTCCAAGGGATAAGGGATCATCCGGAAAGCTGCAAGAAGAGAGACAGCATGTTAGAGGTCTGATACTTGTCTCAAGGATCTAACTTCCGAAAGAGACTTAGGAGCACGTCTGTAATGGGGAACAGTTCTGCAGCACCTCCCGGGACGGAGGGGAGACCCACACAGCCGTGGAGGCGTGTACCAGATAAACTGTCAGAGACACATTATGATGTATCACGTGCACATTAATCTCCCGCTATATATTCTGGGCAAACCCCTCAGGACTGGGCGGGGGCAGGGGTGCAGAGGTGGAGGGGAGCCAACAGAGCCGATGCCCAGGGCTTCATCAGCTATAAAATATGATAAAAATGTTATAAGCACTAATCCAATAACTCAACCGATGGTCATAACACAAACCTGGATGGGAATGCTGGCCCAAGAAGCAAACGCGGACTGACTTGGCACTCGTTGCAGATGTACAAATACGAAAGGCATCCTACCGTGTCTATTTAAAAACGATGTCTGAGCGGATTAGAGTCCCAACCAGGATGGAGATCCAAACACAAGTCCAAAAAAATGCATGACTTGGGAGGTATTTCCAAACGTTATGAAACTTTTAAATCTTTACTATCATGTGGGGAAAATATGAATCTGGAGAGATTGATGATCTGTTTGCTGAGGCTGTCAGGCCACCTAATTCTGCTCTTGTGGCTTCGGACAGCGTCCGGCCTCACAGCTGAATTACGGCTTTCCAATCAGTCTCTCACTCCCCGTTCCCCCTCGTGTGACTCTCCCGGTGACCATGTCGTCAGCATGTTAGTCTCACTGTGCCTATGAACAGGGGGCACGGAGGCAATTTTTCCTCCGCAGATGTCCTTTAACTGCAGCAGGCTGTGGACGTAAATACAAAAGCTAGCCCCCTAGGCTGGGAAGGGCAGGTACCAAGCCAGGGGCCCTCCCGGGTGTCACTCAGGAGCCGCGGTCTCAGCCTGAGGTGCTACCTTTTGAGGACTCAGGGCTGCAGGCCCCGCACTGCATCACGACTTCTACCTTCTCCAAACGCTCCCCCTGCACGTATTTATCTTTTGCATTCTTCTTTCAAACAGGGATCAGAAACAAAGAGTGTTCTCCCTCACGAGGAATGACAAGGCTCCATTGTAACCCACGTCGGTGCACATATGGTATTTATTCTGGTGTCTGAATATTATTTAAAAGTAAAAACATTCTGTATGGGATCCCAGCATTTGGAATGCAGTCAATCTACACCGCAGTGGTATCGCTCTGGGGTTACAGCGCATTGCCACGGAGAATATAAATCACTCTCAATGCGGGATTAGGGCGCCGCCAGTTTGCTGGCAGTATGCTGAGGTAGAAATGTTATCAATTTTCCTCTCAGAACAGAAATCTCTTAAACGGAGATTAAAACATTAAAAAAAAATTTTTTTTTTTTGCATCAGACTTCTTTTTTTTTTTTTTTTGCATCAGACTTTAAACTCTTCTTACAATGAAAGTCTCACCCTCCTTTCTCCATTCTCTTCCTCGGGCAAACAAAGATGGCGTTTGTCACGAGAAGGGATCTAGCAAGCCTTAGCACAGGTGGCTAACACACAAAGATCGCTCGAAGGAGGCAACATCTCTCTTAACAGCATCAGACTTCCAAGAAAGGGGAGGGGGTAGGGGGTGGGGTGGCGGGCAAAAAACAACACACAAAAACATTTCAGTGCTTCTATGGTATCGACTAAAAATCTCTTCTGGGACGCATAGAATTTAAAGTATCACACTGCAAGGTTTTAATGCCTTTTTCCCATAAGTGCTATGATGCTAAAGAAAGCACCACCCAAAGGCGGGGGCACCCATGTGGCAGTGTTGCTAGGAATCCAGTCTCTGTGCGCAAGCAGGGCTGCAGACCTTTCACCCCCTTCAGCTCTGGGATGCAAGGAAGCCCCACGTGGCTACCCCTGGCGGGGCTGGATTGTTCTGTGGGTGCAAGCGCACTTGCACGGCCAGAGCAATTGTGGAAAAGATGCACAGGAGTTTGCCGAACCATAGGAAGCTAAGGGCTTGTTGGTGGCTTTTCCACCAGCTATCAGACGGTTTCTACTCTAGCATTTGGCACATTCACCGATTTTTATGCTTCAAGTTAGCCTTTTTTTGCCTGGTGGCAGAAGGGTCTTCTAATTGGTTCTGGCATTTTGGGAGTGGATGAAGCTATTGATTGCAGTCTACTTAACAAAAAAGCACACACCCCACAGTCCTCCGTGATTGTCAAGGTGCCCATGGGGCTCCTCAACACTTTCTCCTCCTCCGATCGGTTGTCATTGACATTGAGCACAGAAAATAACATCAAGCTTGTGGCTTCCCTAAACAAGAGCAAATACTATTTCGCTCGGAATCCTATACTCTCACCCAGCCTGCTGTGCAGGGTTCAGCAATGTGTGCGATAAGCAGCGGAGGTCTGGAAAGACTGGGAGGGGCTGGTGTCCCCTTGGCAGCCTCCCCTCCACTCCCCACCCCTCCCCACCTCTGGTCCTTTTCCCTACAAAAAGCCTCCGGGCTTTTTGCCGCATGTCTCCAGATTTTGCAAGTGCAAGTATTAAGAGCACACTGATTTGGCGGTCCATGCCAATAGGATGGGAAAAGGAAATCTACTTTAAGAACAACTAGAGTCTTTCCTCTACATACACTGAAGAGGAATGAAAAACACTCGTGCAGTTGGTTAAACACAAAATGAAAGCTGGGCCACTCAGACTTGACAGGAGGTACATCAACATTTCTGCATCCTTTCCTTCCTCTACCTTGATTTCTTGTGTGCCTTGGCCGAAGAGGCAAAATGGACCCGGGAATTGCCCTCTCAACAAACCCTGGGGCACAGCCCCGCCTTCTTTTATCTCTGGCTCGACCAAGTTTTCCAGGCTGCAAACCCATCCGTACAGATGATGGGAGGACCAGCAGAGCCAAAGCGTGGACAGAGGCTGGATGCCTGAACAAGAGAGCTCCCATTGCCCTGTCTATGGTGCCTTTCCTGTGAGCATTTCAGAGAACCTTAGGCGGATCGATAATGTACAGTCAGGGTGAAGTGAACTGGAATCCCAGCTCTGGGTCTTCCAGCAGGCACTCCAGATGGGAAGCACATGATCCGATCACCAAAGAAGTAACTAGGAAGTTCCCACTCTGAGGATAAGGTCCTCCCTGTGAGGCGAGATCTGAGGTGCTGCGCACACCCAGTGGGGAGCAGGGCACCTGACACGGGAGGAGAGTAGTGACCGGGCTAAGGGCCGTAGGGCACCGAGTGGGTCAGTCAATCGTCCCAGGCTCTTTTCAGTAAAAAGGAGAACGCCATCCTACACCATCCTGCTCCCAAGGCCGTTAGAGATAAAAGAGCGTTAAGCATCCGAGCGCCATGCCTGGCTGCTCAATAAAGTCTCCTTTCTCTTTTCTTTTACTGAAGGTCCCACTTTCTCTCTCTCTGGGGCCACTCACTAGCTTGTAAACAAAAACTCTCATTTGCTTGTAAACAGCAGAAGTGCACGTGATAAAGGAGTACATCAGCATCGAGATGCAAAGCTTCTGTTCTCACATTTGCCTGCCATCCACGGGACAGCATCCTGGGAGGACCGTTTGCCTTTCCCGAGGCATTCTGGAGCCAGTGATCAAGAAAACTGGTCCGAATATCTGAGGCCTGGGTTCTGATCTGTGTTCTTCACTATCGAATTGTGAGGTCTGGGGAAAACCCCTTTTCCTTGGCTGGAATCAAGTGATGATGCGCACTTCCAATTCTGACGAGAGATGTTTGAGCTATGCAGCGGATTCACCATCTGGCTAGTGACCCTCACATCTGTACCATGTATGCGCGCATGCACACACACGTTTCTCCCAAAGAAGTTCCATGTCATCCCGGTATCCCCAATACAATGAAGGGGGCCAAGGATGGACCCAGCAACTGTGTGTTGGGTAAATGTAAAGACGAGTCCGTGCATGATCAAGAAGCAGCAGCATTTTCCCTTCAGGGATTCAGGAAGATCCAAATGATGAGCCCTGGCCAAGGCTGAATAAAGGAAAGAAGCAAAGGGCGCAAGCTGGCTCTGCTGAGCATCGGTGGGGAGCATGACCCGCTGTGGGGAGACAGCGTGCTCACTTAGCTGGCTGTGACCATGGACTTCAGCTGCTCCTTGTTCTCTCTCAAGTTACAACAGTTAGATTCAGACTACACCTTGACTCTATAGGGAAAAAAAAATCTCTCTTTAGTAGTCCAAAAAGTGCCAGCCATTTGGAGGAAGAGTTAGGTTAGAGGAAATATCCTAAGGACCACATCTTACAGTGAATAGCATTAGGTTCAAAGAGAATACATTAGAATCAGAATCTCATCCTATGCTTTAACAATGGCCCATTTTCCCCTCAAAGGAAATCTTCTGCCCTAGCTCCCTCTGAAAAACACTGCCCTCAAATCTTATACATTATGTAGTGAATTCTTTAGGGGGGAAAAAAATCTCCACAAGGAAAATAAAGCATTTCACTCAGCCGAATGGCAACAAAGGCAGGCTAAGCGATTTACCCCGTGGCAGATGGGCACGTTGTCTGCTATCTGGAACTAGAAAATGAAATCTTAAAGTTCACACGTGCAGTCAGCAGACAACTGACCCCGGTTCGTAAAATAAAGGCAGCCCAAACAGAGCCCTGAACAGCTCCAGGTGGGAGGAAGAGGAGGCCACACTGGCATTTAAGACAGGTGAAACAGAAGACGGGCCACTTAAAATGGGCCCAGCAAGGGCGATCCTATTGTAAAAGAAGGCCCCGTGAAGATAAAATCCCTCATTCACATGCGCTTTCTGTGTTCGACACATACGAGCAGTGGGGTGTGTGCATGAGTAGAACCAGAGCCTACAGTGCTTTAGGTGTGTGCAGTTCAGATAAGGAGCCAGCAGCTGTGTAATGAACCCAGCTATAGGGCAAAACACATGAAGTCTTGTCAAGCAGCACCTTCCCCTTCTTGATTATCTTGACTTGGAAGAACACGTTGTGTAATTTCAGGGCCTGGGACAGTGATGAATCAAACATTTGGGAAGCCTTTGAAATGCTGATGTCTGTGCGGTTGAAGACTCAGATTGAAAAAAGCAAAGCAGCAACCCACCATATGTTTCAAACACAAACAATCTCTGCCACGCATCAGCTGGGCTTAGGGTTTTATCAAAAATGGGAGGTTTGTGTTTTGTTTTCTTTTGTTTTGTTTCAGCCTGATTGGTGGGAAGCACACTTAATTCCTCAGGATGACTAATGCTCCGACATCCAAGATTCATTAAAAAGTAAAGTAAAATATACCTCCACCAAACAACGTTCTTGGCTGAACTTTTTTTTTAATCTCTAAAAGATAAATTGACTAAAAAGAATAATCATCTCTAACCTGGATCTTGGTGAAACTGGGTGGTGTACTCTTCCTCTTGAATTCCCTTTGTAATGAAAAATCAAGTTGGCAAGGAGTTGAGTGGCCTTAAACTTCAGAATTAAAGG